CAATAGTTTTGCGAGATCTCACAATGCTTTTGCAAGATCCCGCAATACTTTTGCGAGATCCCGCAATACTTTTGCAAGATCCCGCAATAGTTTTACAAGATCCCGCAATACTTTTGCAAGATCCCGCAACACTTTTGCGAGATCCCGCAATAGTTTTGCGAGATCTTGCAAAAGTATTGCGGGATCTTGCAAAAGTATTGTGAGATCTCGCAAAACTATTGCGGGATCTTGCAAAAGTGTTGCAGGATCTTGCAAAAGTATTGCAGGATCTTGCAAAAGTATTGCAGGATCTTGCAAAAGTATTGCGGGATCTCGCAAAAGTGTTGCGGGATCTCGCAAAAGTATTGCAAGATCTCGCAAAAGTTTATTTTTTGCGAGATCTGGATACTGGATACTTTTTTTCCCCTCCATGTCCCTTTAGGGGCTCTGTATCTATTTGAGCAGAAGAATAAAGAGCACAGGAAAGGGACAGCAGCTTATACAGTATATATGGAGATTGGTTCTACTTGCAAAGGGGCACTAAATATTCAGTGAGACCCATTTGTCCAACACCCATGAACTTTGAGGGGAATCCGAAGTACCGGAGGGAGAACATAGAAGAAATAAGCAAATAAAGACCTTCTTGCTGCAAAGCCGCGGTCTGCTCCACCATCAGCCTCTGCTGAGTAAATACATGTAATATATTTAATACTGGATTTTCCCTCTAAGAGATCATAAAGCTGCAATGCCAGCTGCCTTTTAAGGCTTTTTATACGTCTTTACCAGCAGCCAGCTCTACACACCAGGTTTGCTCCCTTTGATGGTTCATTCTGGATAAAACCAACCAGACTCATGCAACTGAAACCTAAACAGAAGCAGATTCACTGATGATTTAAAGGTTATGTAAAATATACATAGCAATGCAAAAGCTCTCAGGTAAATCCAACTCACAGAACACATGACTATTTAGTTCTTACTATAAGTACAGATAGTAGTTCAGGACTTCTGTTTAACATACAAGCCCAGGAGGTATTTGAGTTAGGCTGGCTCTAAATGTAGTTTTTTTTAGAGGTTTTACTTTCCTTTTGATCGTAGAGGCACAAGAGTTAATTACAGTTTTTAAAAGCTTAATGTTAGAGTCAGACATTCTGATGTCAGCATGGTGCAGCAGATTAAATAGAAAACATTCAAAGTGTTTTAGATGAGAAATTGACACATCATCACATCTCTACAGAGGTAAGACCTGCAACGTTTAAAGGAATTGTTCAGGATGTTTTATAAACTACGTTTATAGAATATATTTCAAAAGGTTTAAAGCAGCTATCTAACCTAAAGTAGGAAATTACTTTTCGTTTGTTTGGCATCGACAGATAAGCTGATGCTGGAGGCTGAAGCTAATGTAATGCACAACTGTTATCCAATTTTAGAAAAGATACTGCAACAAATATATGGTTAATAGGAATAAGACAAAGATTTGACTGTTCTGATCATAAAAGGAATATTTTAAAACCAGCTGCTTAAATTTTAACTAATAAACTTTTGCTAAGAACTCTTGTGTCCTGTTTATTATGTCAAGGACTTTAGGGTAATGGGTTCAAGAAAGTTTCAGCTGAAGGGATCCCAGCCAGATGTGTTTGAGGCCATTCAGACGAATGCCAACTAGCAGCTTATTCACACCAATCACCATTTTCTACCACTATGTAAAAAAGAAGAGTTAAAAATGAATGAAAAACACTATAAACTATAGTTTATGGCAGATATCCTTGGACTGGAGATGCCTCACAGGTTCTGTTCTCAGCACGTGTTTCACACAGGAAGATAATTAGTGATGCGTAGCTTCCTACTCTTATTTCCTGTGAAAATAATCTGGGAACATCTGAGGGTGGGACAGCTTTCATTGAAGCCACAAAAACAACCAAATGGTTTTTACGTCTTGGACCAACTCTGGCTAGCTGTCAGCTTTAGCCTCCAGGATTTATTAATCTGGATTTATAATGAATGAAAATAAGAAAGACTAGCTGCTTAAAATTTTACAACGGGAGCTTAATCCAAAAATATTGAACCACCCCTTTACAAAAATCTGGACCTTTGAAATAGATCAAGGGACACTGCTTTACGTTATTGTTAGTAGGATAAATATCTCCTCTATGTACACTCTTTCATAGGGGAGACCCTAAATCCAGGTCTTTGAATGCATCAGCCTCGCCGTGTGGGACATTCTGGTGCATCTTCTGATGGCTCCTCAGGTTGGATTTGCTAGAGAAGCTTTTGCTGCACAGCAGGCAGGTGAAGGGCTTCTCTTTAGTGTGTATTCTCTGGTGACAGAGGAGCTGGGTGGACACGCGGAACGCCTTTCCACATGTCAGGCACTGGTAGCGTTTGGGCTCTGTGTGAATACGTCGGTGGTTTTTCAGAGCCATCAGGTTGGTGAACTTCTTATGGCATACTGAGCAAAAGAAGCAGCCCGTCTTGTGGCTGTTTTTGTGGTTGAGCAGCGAGCCAGGGTGGCGGTAGGTGCGACCGCAGTGCTCACATACATGGCTTTTATCCTCTGAGAGAGAGGATTCCCCAGTCTGCAGGTCAGTGTTGTCTGGATTATCCTCCAAACGGGGCAGAACTGTTTCCATGGACTGGTTTAATCCTGAGTGTGAGTAGATGTTGCTCTCAGCTGGATCCTCCATATCCTGTTGATGGGAGCCCTGAGCTGCATGGTGCAGGGTATGATGCTCCTGGTAGCTGGCTGTGTTGGGAAAGCTCTGCAGACACAGGCTGCAGACCACAGGCCGGTTCTTGAAATGCACCTTCATGTGGCTCTGCAGGTGTGCCGACACACAAAAGGTTTTTCCACATTCGGGGCAACATTGGCGCCTCACCTGGGAGTGTAACTGCAGACTGAGAGGGTCGGGGAATGTCTGCAGACACAAAGTACATGGATAAAGATCTTCAGAGTGGGACTTCTTGTGATTGAGGAGGGATCCGGCGTGGCGGTAGGAGCGCCCGCACAGGTCACACCTGCATTAGAATCAGAGTGAACATTCAAAAAGACATGAAAACTCAGACAATTCAAGGTAAAAGAAACCATCTATACTCACTGAGGATGAATACAGAAGCTGACATTTATCAATATTAAATTAACCAGCGCGTCTTAAAGCCGGGGAGTGACGTCTGATCGCCATGTTTATTTCTGGTTTTTTTTACCCGTTTACCAGGGACACTAACATATATATCTGTGTTAGTATAAATTGAGTCCATTTGATGTAACATGGAGGAAGAAAAGCCTTTTAAGCTAAACTAAATAATCATCTCAATTTTCAATTGCTAATGCTGCTTTGTTAAACTTGGCTGCTTTTCACTCGTCTGCTTAGACCTGCTTGGACCTTCCTTAAAGGAATGAACCAGTCAGGCAAAATAAGTTTCTAAACTCAGAGAGACCACTATTTTATCCAGGGATACAGAGACAACTTACCTAAAAACAGTTTTAAATCCAAACTTAAGGCACTGAGTTACTAGAAGTAGAAAAAAACTAAAATTTGTTCTCTTTTCTCAAACTGGTTCTGCAAAAAACCAAAATAGGATCCAGCTGGACCCAGGCACTAGGATCATATAATACTACGGGACCCAGACTGTAATTCCTGGATGGAAACTGAGTTGAAAAGCAGCCAAAGTGTGAAGAAAGACATGAAGCACCCCTGAGAAAGTCCTGAAGAACTTTTTATGCAAAAGATCTGGTTCCTCCAAGGCATAGCTTAAAGAAATAAAGGAGTGCTTTAATACTTTTAGCACTGCTAACATGTTCACTGAAGACATCATGTTTTTGATCAAACCATCAGATATCAGGGCGGTGCCTCTAACTGACCATAGCTGTGCTGATTTTACAGTGAGACTTAACTCACATGAAGCTCTTGGGCTCCTGGACTCCAGAAGGCCTGTTGACCCCCTGACCTCTGTGACAGCGATGTGTCCTCTGGCCAAAGCTGCCCTGGAAGCTCTTGCCACATGAAGCACAGCTGAAGTGACTCAGCGCCCGACTGTGGACCCGCTGGTGGTTCTGGAGGACGCTGGCGAGGCGGAAGGCCTTCCCACATGTGAGACAAGCATACTTTTTCTTCTGAGTGTGGATTCTTGTGTGACTGCGTAAAGCCATCAGGTTGGTGAAGGGCTTGGAGCAAAAGGTGCAGCTGAAATGTCCCGTCTTGTGTGTGTTTTTGTGGTTCAGCAGCGAGCCGGCGTGACGGTATGTGCGATGGCATACGTTGCATCTGAAAGGACGCTCCTCTTCACCGGGAGAGGCGTTTTGTTCTGAATCCCTGTCATCTGATGACCCATCACAAGCATGAGCCATCAGCTGGCTAACAGACAGGAAGGCCTTCTTACACGTCTTGCATGTAAAGTTTCTGCATCTGCGGCCTGTTCTGCCTAAAGCCCCTTTCTTTCTAAACTCAGCGCAGACATGAGTCAATAGCTGCTTCTTTACTCTAAACCCTTTTCCACACTTCTGGCATAAGTGCTTCTTAGATGCAAAGTGGCTCCGCAAGTGGTTCTTCATGGCTAACTGGTTGGAGTACGTGTTTGTGCAAATCGAACAGTAATATTCGCCTGTTTTATGGGAGTTTCTGTGATTGACCAAACTTCCAGCGTGGCGATACGTTCGACCACACTGGTCGCAAGAATAAGGTCGCTTGTCATTCTCATCTTTTCCTTTTTCTGCCTGCCCCTCCGTCTGCCGCATCTGATCTTCAGCTTTCTGATCCTGATCCGGGTCTGAAGCTGGCATTCTTTCATCTGCTCTGCTGCCATTACTTGGCATGAGTGCCTGGGTCTGACTGCTGAGGTCCTGGATCTCGCCTTGGTTCTCTTTATGCCTTCTCAGGTGGTTCAGGAGCTGCTTCTGGATTTTAAAGGCTTTCCCACACTCATGACAGGCATGCCTGTGGAAAGAAATATACTGTAGTTAGAGCTACCTTCTTAAAAGATGGATTGTTTTTCTCTAAATTTTGATTATGGATTACAGCAAATTACACCAAATCAAGATTTTTTTTTTTACTTTTAATTGGAAAAAAAGAAGAATTTCTAAAACAGAAATTTTATTTTGTTGCCCATACATCTATGAGGAAGACCTCTGATTTCACAATTGTCCTGCAGTCAGTATTTAGGCCCATTGTGATATCTGCGTCAACTCAGGGCACACTACATTTTTAGGATCAGGTAATCTGTCTATTAGGGATGCACGATATTGGGATTTTGGCCGATATCCGATATGCCGATATTTTAAAACTCATGTAGCCGATA